TGCCTACTAGCAGAAATGTTTATAAATTTTTTAGATTTGGCTTTAAAGTATATTAAGACTGAAGTTATAACTTTATGTTTTTGAAAGTTTTTTTAAAGGTTTAAATTATTTTCATCTTCCATTGCAAGTTATTGATAGTTCTTATGAAGAGTTTATTAAAGTTAGGGAGGCATTGCACACTCAAAGCAATATTTCGAAATCTAGGTTAGCTGCATTTCTTACTATTAAGTCAATCAAACTCTTTCGGGATAAGGCTGGCACTTCTTATAAACAAGACAAGTACAGTATTGAAAATATTTTAAGGCTACATGACAAATGGAGGTTGCTTTTAAAATCTAAAAATAGAATTTCTAATAAGAAGAGTTTACTTGAACAAAACTTTATTCAATCAGTAGATGGCATTTTTGATATTAGTTCTCCTAGTTGGAAAGATGACATTAGAAAAACCAGATCAGCTAAGGATGCAGATGAAGAAATTGCCTGGTTTACAGCTCTTCAAAATGGAATAAAAACTGGAGGAATTGGTGTAAAAGATAATGTCCTACATTCTAGTGTTAGGAGAAAAAAAGAAAGAATTGAAAAGAAACAGGTTGCAACTGAATATGAAAAAAGAAGAAAAATAGATGATGAAGAAACTGTTCAGTTGGTTGGTTATAGTAGTGACTCAGCTGAAGATTCTTATGTCACTAAGTCTAGTCGTTCTATGAGTTCTGCATATCAAAACTCTCCTAAAAGTAATCCTGAGTTTAATATTTCTAAAAGTAAGGAGAAAAAAAGAATCCCGGATCAGATAGTATCACACTGGTTTTGCCAAAAAACTTTATTTCTCACCCAATGATAACAGTTACTGCAGATAGAATTAAGCTATCAAATCCTCAGCTGATGATGAATACTTCACGAAAACTAAATAGGCAAGTAAAATAGTAACAGAATTTCAAAATAAGATTAAATCAGATTATTTGACACTTCATTAGGACAGAAAACTTTTAAAGCAAATCTCAGAGCCAAAATTTGAGTATTTAACTGTTTTGGTCAGTGGCTTTCCTAATTGTGTTAAAGGAAAAATATTATCAATAAAACCTATACAGTCTGGAACAGGACTTGCTATTTGCAAAGGAATCTTGGAAGACTTAGAGGAATGGAATCTCAAAGCTAACATTGTCGCCCAGGTTTTTGATACGACTGCATGTAATACAGGAGTTAGGAATGGAGCTGCAACTCTTTTAGAGGATTGTAAATCAATGAAAACTCTTCTTTGGCTGGCTTGTCGCCATTACATTTTAGATTTGATCTTGGGAACATTTTGGAGCTCCTTATTTAAAAAAGAAAAAAAAAGCTTATTATAATATAGATTTCAAAGACTTTCAACAAGAATGGATTTGCGCAGAGAAGGCTCCACTAAAAAAAACAGGTTTCTACATCTTGAAAATTCTTTTCTTAAAACGAAAGCTAACGAAACTCGTGTATTCTTAGAGAA